AGCTTCTTCTTGTCACTCTAGTTTTTCCACAGACTTTGTCTTCAAGGGACTACCTGAGGCAGTGAAGAAAGTTTGGACTTTTGCTGAAGCTGCTAATATGGTAACTAGTCAGCTTTCTAGACGCATGTCCTTAAGCAGGTATTAAAAAAACAGCCCTGTTTTGTGGCTACTGGATTGTGCTTGCAGATGTCAAAAATCTTTGTTTATCATGTGCTGAAATTATATCCCTGAAGGTTCCTTGTATCTCTTCTGCAAAGTGGAAGTTGTTGCTGATTTATTTAAATTTAAACTTGTGCCTGGTTTGATTTTCCCATTCCTTTACGTGCTTTACTCAACTTTGCTTATCTCTGTAGTGTCTCTTGGGCTATTGAGAATATAGGGGCTGGAGGATCATGTTGCTGAAAATGGAGATGTACCTGTTGTTTTCCCCTGTAGACATGGATCAGAATGGAAGGAGGCTGTAAGTCAGAGCTACAGTCAGGAAGTAAGGAAATCTGTGGTCCCTTGATATCTTTCTTGTTTGATGCTTGGGAAGTTTCTTAAGACATGTCTGCATGGGTTGCTGTGGACGAACTTGCTCTCAGAGCTAACCAGCTCCAAGATGGATCTGTGCTGTTCGTGCTGAGCCTGAGCTGTGAGTTACCCCACAGCTACAAGACTTCTGTGCTGGAGCTGGCGTGTGCAGCATGGTGCTGCTGGGCTGCAGCTGTGTGTGCAGACGTGCCCAAAGGCTCCCCGTGCCACAGTTTCTCCAAGTGTAAAATGTGAGTGCTGGAGTTTATGCCTTTCCCAAAAATGCTTGTGACAAACAGTTGAGGAGTAAGTCACTATGGGAGGAGTTTTGTGACAGTACAAGAGGGCCTTTGCTGCTAGTTTCATGGCCAAAAAATCTCTTTATTAGTACTGTTCTCCTCTTTTCATAATATTTCATAGAAAATTTTTTTCTTGCCTTAAGTTCTCATGATTGGAATCTGCTTAAATGTGTTTGTTCCCTTAAAATAAAGGGTGGTAAAACCAAGTGCTTCTTAAATGACACAGGCTGAAAAATCTTTCTAAAGAAAAAGATCGTCTATTTTTGTTTTTTCTCTTAGAAAAACTGATTTGAGAAAGGCAGAACTTCAGCAAACAGCTCTGCCTTGAGAGTGACCTGGTGTTGGTACTTTTCAAAACCTCTCTTGCAGATGAACAAGCCAGTGAGTGTCCGAGCAGCTGGAAGGTGGAGTGTGCTGATAGAAGGAGACAGAGGTGGATCTGGAGAACTCAAAAGCTTTCTGGGAAAAATACTCCAGCTTCTAAGCTGGGCTTTACCGATAGTTAAAGAGGCAGTGGAGCTGTGCTGGGAGTGCTGCAGGAGGCCGGTGTATGCTACTGAGTGACGTATTCCTCCCACTTCTTGCTTTCTTCTAAATTCTGGGGAAGCAAAGGTGTGCAGCTGTCTGTCAACTTGTGAGCAAGGGAAGTGTGAGCAACGTGAACTTGTTCAGCAAGGAATAAGGTGGTTTTGTTTGTTGTGATCTTAGCAGACACAAAAGCCTGAGGCATAGCAGAGAAAGAGCAGGACCACTGCTTAGCGAGGTGGAGGGACTCCACCAGACAAGTGGCTGCCTCTTCCAGCTGAACGTTTCCTCTGCTTCCTCTGTGCTGTGCTTGTGTGTAACTGACCCTTGGATGCACTCGTGCGGTTCACTAAGCCCTGGGGATTAGCAATGGGTTTGGGAGAGCTCCACAGCTGGTGCAGATGGAGGGAGTGAGGCTCCTGGAGGGAGCTGAAGAGTGCCTTTGGCAGCAGCTGAGCGTTAGTTTGGCTGTGCATTCTCCTGAAGCCTCACCCGTAAGAAGCTCTTTGTTCCCTGCCCAATGTTTCTCTCCCTGGAAATCTGCAAGCATGCCACCGCTGCGTGCTGGCGGTCCCTCTTCTCAAAGCCAGCTCTGCCTCCACTGAGGTTTTTATCTCTTAAGAGCCATAAATGAACTCTTAATTCTGTGACTTACGTTTGGTGGTGAAATTAACTGATTTATTCTATAAAATATATAGTACTTGCCATGCGACGTGTAAATGTGTCTGTTGAAATCTTAACCTTTGCATTTATGAAAGAGAGTATTTTTTTGTTCCCCCCCCCTCCCACGAACAACCTCAGTACTTTATTAACAAACTGTGTGAAACGTATTGCTGGGATATGTTCAAATGCATATTTCTTGGATATAAAACTACAATTTAGTGAAATGCCAAGTGCCACTTCTCCCAGGTAACTAACATCTTGTAAATCCAATATTTGTGCTTCTGAAAGCCTAAAGAAATATCTGATGTGAGCATTTAGGCACACTCTGTTTTCTGTGGAATGCAAATCTGCATGACTTGTTGTCCTATTGGTTTTTTTCACCCTTATAACATTTTCTGTTTCTTTGTTTCTTTTGTGAAGCAGATTATGAAAATATTTATCATTACCTCTGCATTTGTCTAGAGACTGCGTTCCCATTGTACATGTGTGCCCCCATGGTATCTGAAGGACTTGGATATTTTTGTGGCAGGTTTTTTTTTGTTTTGTTTTGTTTTTGTTTATTGCCTGGCTGATTTGTAGGGAGAAAGAAAAAGAAAGAGATCATCTTGCTGCTTTTAGCAAAAAGAGTAAGATCTGCTATTAAAGCTTTTTTTTCTTTTTTGTAAGAAAGTATTCTGTAGTAAATGTACTAGCACATTACAGAGAATTACCATAGCTGGAGCTATTATACACGTGCCTGCAACAGCAACAACAAAAAAAAACAGCTTTTTTTTTTGTCTTTTTTTTCCTATTTGAAGCTTGATGTTTACTTACTTAATGAGCAAAGCAAGGCTTTGGACTCTGGTGGCTTAACAACATGTTTTTATGCAGAGTCATTGTCTGAATGAACAAGATTTTAGTCTGCCAACACGGGAAGTTTTAGCCATAGTTGCATTCCTGACTGACTCTTTGAAAAATCTGGGGAGTATCTCTGCTGCCATTCGTGCTCGTGCTGACTGCTGCTCTTCTCACTTGTAGTCACATAACTGGCTCTTGAACAATTAGGATTTGCTTGCATGCTTTCCTTATGTTAATTTTTCACGTCATGTTTTTAAGCTGTGTAAAGTAAATTTGGCAGCTGTAAGTAAGAGGAGGCAGCATCACGTGCACAGCAAGAGCTCTGCCTTCTGTAAAACATAATTTGGGCATCTCCTTGATGGTACATACCATGCATGTGAGGGCAGTCTCACCTGGCTTGCAAGCAGGGCTGGTGGTAACATAGTGGCAAGAGTGCAAGTGGGTGCACAGCCATCACTGGCGTCCTCCAGGGCCATTGGGGAGCTTGGCTTGTCGGTGTGCCAGCAGTGCGCTCGCTGCAGGGAGAAGAGGGTGAAATCTGTTTGGTGGGGAAGGGGCTGCTGGAAGCAAAGTGAATTAAGAGGGCTGTAAAAAACTGATAAAGATACGACTGCCTGTTTTTATATTCTGCCACATAACATGGGTTTAAATGAATTTCTCTGTAATTTGTCTTCAAATACCGACATTTAACTCTTAGGCTGTATAAATGAACTGGCTTTTTCTAGAGTAAAATTCATGCCCTGCGTCCAGGCTAATATGTTCACCTACTATAAACATTACTGCCTATGGTTACAACCAGAATAAAAAATTCCTTTTATATACATCATAGCTGGCAGAGACTCCTGAGACCACCACAAATCACTTCAGCCTTTTGGTGCTCTTTGACGAAATTAACTGAAATGTAAAATAGCCCAAGCTTCAGGCAGGCTGACTCTGGAAAGCAATTAGCTTGTTTAGACCATTGTTTGTATCCTCTTCTATTTCCAGATGCTGAGCAAATGTGGGCTAGAAACTCTCCTGACTGATCTAACACTGGGCTTTAAAACCCAACCATTCCTTCCTTCCTAAAAGGTTTTGCTTATTCTCTGTGTAGCCTTTCATTTAAAACAAAGCAAAGCAAGCAAGAAAATCCTGGCAAGTGTCCCCTTCCCCCAAAAGAAGGAGGAGGAAAAAAAAAAAAAAAAGCCTGAAAAAAAAATCCAAGCAGGGTCGTAACAGGGAATAACAAAGCAGTGAGTTATTTATGCAGCCATGATTGGCAAAAATGATTGCAACATGAATTTGCCCAGAAGCAATGATTAGATCATAAAAATGTTAAGGAAATCTGTAACTCAACACCATTTTATAGATTGAAGAAGTTTTTGTTCCCTACCTTAATTGCAGTGACTTGTTATTAAAGTATTTATTCAGAGTAATCTCTTTGGACAGCGAGCCCTTATCCCATCTGCATGCAAAATTAAAAGTGAGGGGGGAGAAGAGGGAGCATAAATGGTTTACCATGCTACATGAGCAAGGGAGGGAATTACACAATGACAGGTGAAGAGCAGATTTATCTCCTGTTGGAATTTCAATGCTGCAAGCGAGACAGGACACTGTTGCTTGCTAATATCCTTGCAAACACCATAGTTGCTGCTTCTCCAGATTACTGTCCAAAAATCATTGCTGGGCTCTAAAAGGCCTGTAGCGCTGCATCTGTGGCTCTGGGTTTTTGAGCGGTTGGTGCTCAAGCAAAGAGATTGGATTTGGGTATGTGGGCTTGTGAATCTATGTCTCTGCTTAAAAATGGACTATTTACTTACTTGGCTGGCTATTTATTTATTTATAAATAAACATTGGTAGTGTCTGGCTTTGCTGAATACAAATCAGAGGGTTGTAATTGTTCCAGCTGAAACAATGTCATCACCTGCCTCCTGCTGTCCCTTTTCCAATGATGAAAGAATTTGGTACAATTCTTCTCTTTCCATTCTGAATAGAAAGAAGGTTGTACTTGAACATTCATCTCTAGACAGATTTATCATCATTAGGCAGTACTCAAACACACAATATCTGTTTTTAAATTGAAGTGTTACGGATCTAAATCGGATTTACGCAGGGAGAGTTGGCTTATGTTTGTGTCTAACTATTCACCAAAGAGTGTTTTTTCCTTAACTTCTGATGTCTCACCTATGCAGCAGCAGTACAGAGAATGCCAGGAACTTTTGAGCCTGTATCAGAAGTACCTAGCTGAGCAGCAGGAACAACTGTCGCTCTCCCTCTCTCAACTCAGTGCTGCCAAGGAAAAGGAGCAGAAGGTAAGATTCTTTTTTTCCATGTCATTTTTTTATGACATCTCCACAACATTTTTTCTCTTTTCCTAGAACTAAAACTGAATTGTGTTGTCGTGTATTGTTCAGTGCTGATGACTGTTCTGTGATTGGTTTCCCATGGCCTTCCCTTAATGCGTGGATTGCAGGAAGACAAAAAAGGAAGCAAGTTTTGGATCAATGAAATGGGTGAAGTTAATTGACCGTGTTGTAATGCAGTAGAAACCATTGGAATGCATGCTTTTGCTAAGGAAAAAGATGCTCCCCTGTTTTCTTCCCTTCTGTTTCTTAAGCAGTGAAATAATTGCAGTCACTATAGATACAGCCTTTTAAATTTTCACTGTAGCTTTTGATGACTGAAAAGGAGATTACAGATGATGTGTTTGGTCAATAAGAACTTTCTCAAGCCTGTAAGGCAGCCCATCTGATTTGAGCTGTTTATAGAAGACCCATAATTATATATGCCGTTTAAAACCAGAAAACATTGACTGGAGATACGACGTGTTAAATTAAGTGGTAAAATGGTTCTCAGATGTATATGCACAAAGACTTGAAAACATGGTTGCCTGAGAGGTTTTTTTTCAGATAACTAGGTACTTGATTTGTATCCCTGCTCATAGCAGATGATGCCCTGGAAATTAAAGCAATTTATGCAATCTCTACCTGATGCTTTTAGTCGCTGTTGTCTTTCAGTAGTTTCCATCAGTGCATCTCCATTCAGAGTCTATCCTACCTAAAACAGACCATGCCTGTTTATGATTTGTATGCTTGAATCTTTCTTTTCCTGATGAGTGTTACAGACTTCTACCATGGCTGGAGGTGAAGACACCAGCATAGCATTCAGAAGGTGGCCTGACTCTGTCCTCTCTGTAGTACCTGCTAACAGAATTGCACAGGCAGATCCTACTGCTCAGAAGCCCATGGAGGCAGAACTATAATTTTAATTCTGTTCAGGAGGTAGCAGTGCTGTCTTCATTGGCAGCAGGAATTGTGCTTTATACATTTTTAAAAAATATGTTGCTGTTTGTCAGGCTTCTAGCTTTTACAAGCATTTTGTTCCCATTCTTTTGTATGTTTGTCTGCTATCCATTTTGTGATGTTTTTGAGCTAAAATAAGGGTCTTTATTTTCTCTGAGAATGAACAGTGCTCGTGTTCCTCTCTGTGATACACAGCTCCCTGGGTTTCCTGATGGAGAGCCACCCAGAAGAGCCCATGCAGTCTTGGCAGCTGATTTTGAGGTGATGCTGTTACTTCCCTGGGATTGGATTCTGCTAGAAATCTTTCACCTTTAGCCTTTCATCTTAAAATACGTGTGACTTGTACTAGGTATGCATGCTACAAAGGTATACGGTCTAATCCCACGGAAGTACTAATGTTTAGATGTATATAGCAGGAAGCCTTCAGCCTATTAACTGTCAAATCAGCATCTGAAGTACAGCAATCCATGTTTGTCTCTCCTTTTTCTGTCTTCCTAAGTGCTGTCAGTGTATACACAGACTTCTCTGAGCTTGTTTTCTGACTTCATGTGCAAGTTCTATCAAGCTAATCTTCGATCCCATTATTTCTTTTCTTTATACTTGCAGATACTTTTGTCCACAAATGCAAATTCATATATTATTTCTAGGTTTGTCTTGACATTTCATTTACGGTTACCGAGTCTACAGTTCCAGGCTAACTGGTCTGAAATTACTGTAGCCCTCTTGCTTTGTGCAAAGCTTTGTAGGCATAGATAGAAATTATCAAAACATGCTTCAACCACCCTGTCTTACAGCTTGCAAAATATTTCTAATCTTTCTAGCTTTCCTTTTCAAATTTATCTTGTATGTAATCCTGGTGGACATGGAGTTTATTTCTTCAGTATATGTTGCTTTGGTATTTGTTGCATTTTTCCTTTTTTTTCTTCTTTTAGACAGATACTTCATGCTGTTTCTCTTCACAGCTCAAATGTGGAGAGATTCACAGTCCTGCTTCACGGCTTCAGTTGTTTCCTTGACATGGTCCTTTACATCATAGCTATCAAAACCAAACCTGGTAGGCTGGTGTTTGGATGACTGTACTATTTACATACAATTTTTTGGTTCTGTCTTTTGTCAGTTGTCTTAACTGAACTGTGAATTCTTAGGATCATTGTTGGTCTCTCTTTGTTCTGTTTGAGTGTTGTCTTAACTGTAGTTTAGGTGAGCACAGGGTTTGCATTTAGGTGTCCTGCCTCATGGGAGAATGTCACAGGAACACAGCATACAGGGATTTCAGGGAGGTAAAAAATGGGGAGAAGACCCCAAGAACTTTCAATTTACTCCAAGTGCTGCTCACTGCAGCTCTCTTTGCCCTGCTGAAGCTTTTATGCTCTCAATATTATTTATTTTAAGCTAAAGTTTGAGAAGGTCCATCTTGTTTGTGCAAAAGGAAGCCTTCCTGAGCTTGAATCCTTGACCATGGGGAATCTTTTCCCTGTTGTTTGTTTTGACTGAGCCAAGGAAATCTTGGCTGTTGTCTAGCTTTAAATCAATGGATGCTAGCTTGCTACCTAGCTTTCACTACTTTGAACTGTCTAGGAGAGGTAATCAACATTTTCTATTTCGGGTCGATGTTACAGGGGCACCTGCGTCTCAGAGCAAGATGTTGCTCTGATTTTTCCAGTGTCTTGCAGAAAGATGGGACTGCATGGTTATACTGTGTACCGAAGCACCTCTTTGTTCTGCCTGTTATGTTTCTGTTCATTTCCCCCTTTTTCTACTTGTTTGTTTTAATTCATTCCTAATGCTACATGTGTATCTATCTGGTCATCGCTTGCTTTTTGCCTGTCTGACTCCCTTGTTCTTACTGTTCAATAATGCTGACCAAGAGCTGTCCCTTTCCCTAGCTTTAGGTAGGAATTTGAAAGCATTTCTTTTTGGTGTTTAGATGCTTGGCTTCGATGTTTGCAATAAGGCAGTTAACAAGACAGGAGGACTGCAGTGTTACCGAACTGCTGTGGCATTGTTGCAGAAAGATGGGATCGTATGGAAGGGAAGTGATTGCTGTAGCTCTGCACACGTGGCTGAAATGCAGTCCTAGTTCCTAGCTGGATTGAACTAATGCAGCCACTTTGGTGTTCACTTTTGCTTTTGTCTGTTTTAGCATCACATAAAGGTAACAATTATTCTGAAAGCACGTTTTCCTCTGAGCTGATATTGCTTCTTTATAACGAAAGTCAGCCCTCAAAATTTAAAGAAGTATTCTGGTAGTAGTGAAATAAAAATGTGGGGAAAATGGTGGTGAGATGATTTAAGACAGACTCTCATGAAGTCAATAATCAGTAACTGGAACATGGGGCTTCCTTTTTTTGTGAGATAAAGTTAATTCCATTTGAAAAGATACTTAAGGTGACATGAATTGAATTATTCAAACTGGCCTTCTCAGCATTAACTCTAGGTTAATATCTCATGATGCCTCTGGTTTCATTATAGGAGTTTTAAGTACATAACTTTTTATAATAAATTCAATACCTAGAAGCTGAACTGAAATTGGTTTACCTTCTACCAACCCATAAAAAGAAGCATTAATTGCAAAGTGAATATTGAAGTGGTTACTAAAGTTGACTCATACAGATTCAAAGAGATAGCTCTTGTGTAAGGAAAGTGAAGAGCTCTACTGAACAATAGGCTTCTGCCCCAAAGTTAATAGAAGATACCATACATAATAAAATGCAGTTAAATCTCTTCTGTCAAGAGTGATTTTTAGCTGTTCTTTCTGTAGCTCTCAACTGTTCCATCTTTGCCATTTTCAGAAGCTTTATATGGAGATGAAAAGAGAATTGTCCTTGTTCTAGGTAATCAGGCCTGACTTACTTGTACAGTCGCTGCTGCACTGCCATCTCAAATCATGGCAATAATCCAGTTTACTTTGGCAAGTTTCTGGCTGGTGTAGGTGTTCTGCAGCATTGGCAGGATTTGATTCATAAGAGTTAGGCAGGAGTTTGAGTTTTTACAGGACCCAAATTCTGGAGCTACTTTGCCTGAAAGAAGAATAGTATCTGTTGTCTCAGCATTGCCTATCAATCTTTGAATTTACTAGTACAGCTGGCAGCTTTTGTTTCTTATTTGTAGAAGATTATCAACACATCTGCTAACTTCCTAGATTTACACAGATTCTTGTTGAGTGCGTTTCAAGTTGCAGTTCTTCCTCTTGTATGTAGAAATGTAATAGGTGTGGAGTGTGATTGTAGACGGAATGGTGTATCAGTAGTGCATTTTTGATGGGATATTTGTTCTTTCCCCTTCCCATATACACTACTGTCTGTCTCCTGGTTAGTGTTCATATTTCAGTAATGCCAGGGGCCTTGTCAGGAAGGGGGTACTATTGTGTACTAAGCACAGTGCCAGCAGCATACAGAAAATTATGCTCTGTGCTGGGAAAATTGTAAAACGTAAAGATGGCTAGCTTTTGGGGAGGAAGCTATATTTTTGATACTGTTTTTTTTTTAATAATGTTTTTCCTTCTTATGAGTCACTTTTTCATCCTAAACATTGTTTACACAATTAGAGTGTCATTTCACAGTTAACTCCAAAGGAAGTCTTGCATTCTTTTCATGTCTGTGACTAAAATTCATGTCCATATCATTGCCATTTTTTGCCTTAATAAGAGCAATTATGTACTAAAGCTTCAAATATTAGTTCTGTGTTTTCTTTTGATAAGAATATTGAAAAAAGTCAATCTTCAGAAGCCTTTCTGATTGTGCCCAGACTTCTCCATTCCTCTTCTTTCAGCGTGGGTCACCTCTAAATACAATCTTCGTTCTCTGAAAGAAAAAAATCCCACATATGCAAAGGGTTTTGAGTGTTATAAGGTAAACCTGCATGATAGAATTTACTTTGTCTGTTTACCCAGCTGCACAGGAACAATGGATGAGCCTATCTGAAATATACTTGAGAACTGGGATAATAAATAAAGAATTAATTTGACTGTGAACGCAAGGGTATTGGAACAATTTTAGGAGGCCAGACAAAGAGAAAGTTTAGCGTGAGTAAATATTGGGAGTAGCCTTGCCTTACCTGTGTTACTTTTGGCAAATCCTCTGATCACTTTCTGTACCTCTTCTATCCATGAAAGGGAGATAATGCTTTTTATCCTCATCCTGTTTTCTGCAGTGAACATTAAGGTTTGGGAGCTTCTTCATGTGTGTTCTAAGTGCTTAGTGATATTTCAGATTTAGAATCCGGAACAGGATACCATGTATAAGGAAAAAAGTCATGTATTTTCTTTTCACCTATAGGTTACGAAGTCCTACTGGATTTACCTGTCTGGGTTAAAAACGTGCTAACACCTGACAGAAATGCAGATGAACATAAATATTTAAACTAAAAGAAAACATAAATATTTAAACTAAAAGGAAACATCAATACTGAAATATCTGTTTATTGCTAACATTGACAGTATAACTACATCTGCACACAATCCCCTGGAAAGCCATGCTATAATAGGACCACGGGGCACTGAAAAAGCCCTGTCTACTGGCATGCTGTGAATGATGCTGCATTAGTAAGTGATTTACTCTCAGCTCACTGCTTAAGTGAGGTCTGAGCTTGGGATCTACATCACTTCACTCTCTCTTTGCTATTCTTCTGTTGTCTTTAATCAAGCTTGTCTCTAGTCTCTTGGTTTTTGATCTTCTTCTACTTTGAAGATTCTTCTTTCAGTTTCATATGCTGGGCTTTAAAGACTATACCTCCTATGGAAATCTTTTCCTTGGGTGGACACTCATATCAGCTATGTATTTTTCTGCTGAAGGATAAATCTGGAAAGAAGACAATGCCTTCCTTTCTAGCAAAACATTCTCTTGACCTCATAAGTTTTTGCTCATATTGCAGCTGTTGTCAGATGAGAAGTTCCTTCTCTGTCATTTGAGGACCTCCTGTCATTGAGGATACTTCTGAAACTTAGATATAACAGCTTCTTCACTTTATCCCCCACTGTGGCTCTTGGGAGAGAGTTTTACGACCGTGCTCATCAGCATCTGCTGCATCTCCTTTCTAAGTGTGGGTGAAGCGTTGTCAATGAAAGTTAGAATGTTATTTTCAGTCACAAATATTGTAATATGCTGCACATCTTGAGGAAACTATCTCCTGTTTTGCCCTTTGCTTTGTGGAGTTAGCTATACATGTTCTTACCACTGTCGAGCAAATGTGCCAGCCGCCTAGCAGTATGCTGGCACGTTTATTAGCATAGTCCGTTTGACCTATGTAGATGCCTTTGATTC